ATCATCTCGCTCATTCTACCATTCCAGTTCTTATATTTTTATTCAGCTGTAATGTCAATTTATTCATATTCATGAGTCATGCAAGGTTGAGCCGGAGCGGTGGCTCCTGCTTGACTAATCTCCTCTTCCCACATTTCAAATTTTTCGGTACACTTTGATTTGTAATTCTGACATTTATTCTGTCACATATGTATTAGATAAACACTCAACTCATGAGTCAAAAGTTGCATCTTCAAATGCAACGCGTAGTCCCCTAATATTTCTCTACGACGTTGATCATGACAGGATGTACATAAAATAAGTGACCAAATGCTCCCTACTTTTCTCCCTTTTCTCCTCTCGTACCGGCTCTCAGCGGAGCACTCAAAAAACTTGATATTGACAATAGCAATCAACAATGCAAAGAAACAGTGAAATTACATGAAATTTCTTGCTCCGCGACAATTGCTCACGCGCAAGTGCTGCCGCTCCCGCAGACGCACTATATTTACCGCGAAATCTACTCGACTGTATGTTCGAACGATTAAATATACAGATTAACTAAGGTGCGACAGAAGCAATTTACAGAAAGGACGTACCAAGAAACATAAGAATAGATCTTTTGAAGACCGTGCATTGCCATTAAAGGCAGTGTCCGGACAGATTGGGGGTTTTGATATTCCAGTGCCATGCGAAAGTGGCCTCCCTCAGACACAACATCGCGAAAGTGCGAGGTTACCCGCTCGACCTAAAGCGAGAAAAACGGTCGGAAAATGGGGAAACTTACGCTTCGAGGCGGGGTCTTCCGACCTGTCCGAATATCTGCTATGCGGCAGAGTACGCATGCCGCCACAGCTACCTTGTAGGGTCCCGCAGCCACTCTGCGTCTCTGCCTTGGTGGGGAGTGTCGAATTTCAAGTTGTAAGGCTTTGGAAAACGCATGTTTTTGCCATTTCGCACCTCCCAATGTGGATTCTCGGATTCAGCGTTGCGGATAACCCCCGATAAGTTTATATCCTAGAAATCGAGTTTTTCCCGGACACTGTCTTTAAGGGCCGCATACATTTACATTCCTGCCGAGGAGGGGATCGCAGCTTAGAAGAAAGCTTCACATCTTGAAGTTCTACATATCTGGATTTCACGTCGTATAACCTATCCGTAGGTATTCTCATCATCCTTCACTATGAACGTATTGAACAGGGGTAAGAAGCTGTACAAGCGCTTGATGATCCCCGGTGGCCGTCTCTTCTTCCAAGTCATTTCCCTTTCTTCCAATTCAACGAAAACCTTCTAAAGTTGTGCTGTTCGCCTAAGCCAACAGTGCTAAGCATGTTGCTGATAAGAACAATTGAGTTTTTGAGACATCGAAACCTTTGGTAAATCCCAACTTCCACTTGTGGTTCATCGCAATTTTCATAATTTCAAAACATCATCTTATCAGCAACATGCTTAGCCACCGTTAAGTTAGATAATCGGTACAACCCTGGAATGTTTTCGTTAATTACGAAGAAAGAAAATTGACTTCAAAGAAAAGATGGTCGGCGATTGGGGATCATCAGGGGACCATACCAAAAGCTGTGAAAGCGGCTTGTATATGAGCGTATCGAACAAGAGCTTCTTGCCCTTGTTATGCTCATAGTGGAAGATGGTGGGAATAGTTACGGATAGGTAGACAGCATGAAATCCAAGTAGGAGCTTCAGGATATGAAACTTTCATCTAAGCTGCTATCTCCTCCTCGGCGGGGATGTTAATGCATGCGGCTCTAGACATGTTTGTTCCCCATCTTCCCAGAAGTCCGGAGAAATAAGGGCTACATGACTTTGCAGTCGAGTAGATTTTCCGATTAATATAGTGTGTTGCACTGCAGGCAAAATGCGGTGAAATTGCGCGTGAACAAATAACAATGCCAATAATGTCGGCATTTTGCACGCGCAAGTGACCGGCATCACAGGTGCGCCTACTTGGCATGCTCAAGTTTTACCGCATTTTAGGGCCGCACGCATTAACATCCCCCACAATGGTCGGTCGCCTCATCGTGGCGTGGTGACACTGGGTGTCGAACTGCGATGCACAGCCGAGTGTATACTCTGGTAGGGCCTCACAAGCTGTGAAGGAGTTCAACGTTTCCGGTTTCGCCCGGATGCCTAGCTAAGAACCGGCCACGCCAGATTCCCCGCCGTCTGGCTTCTTCTGGTCGCTAGGCGGTTCTCCCCGCTCCAAGTTCGGGGTCAGCGATCGCCCCGTGGAAATCAAGAGTAGGCCTAGTGAGTCTGCTCTTTTAGGGGAACAAATCCTATTACTCAGTCAGCAAGAAGATATAGAAAAAACCCTGTACATCGGATCCCGCCTACAGCGCCGGGCGGTAGCAAGAACGATGTCAGGGTCCTTAGGGCGCCTTCTGGATCGGACAAAAAACACGTCTGCCCGGACGACACGCCATGGAGACTGCCTCATGATCTGCACCTACAACGCCAGGACAGTCTCTACAAACGCCGACCTTCACGCTCTTCTCGACGCTGCGGAGCGCATCAAGTACCACATCATCGCTCTGCAGGAAACGAAGTCCAGGAAGAAGGACGTGCGACAGATGAGTGATGGGACGCTCATCATTCGTGGTGAGAAGGTTCCATCACGAAACGTGGGAGGCGTTGGCTTTGTCGTCCACCCATCAATCGTCCATCTTGTTGATTCGCACGAGATCCTATCACCCCGACTAGCCATCCTACGACTACGCCCTCTACGTCAGAAGACCATCAGCATCATCAACTGCTACTCTCCAACATCAGCAGCTGACGACTCAGAACTAGATGCTTTCTACGAAGACGTGGAGGAGGTCGTCCGCAACGAAAAGTCCTTCTACAAGTATGTTGTGGGCGACTTCAATGCGAAAATCGGAATGTCACTAGAAAAGGAATATAGGATCGGGAAGTTTGGATATGGGCTCCGGAACGAAAACGGCAACCGTCTCGCTGGGCTTCTCTCCGCCGCACGACTCTTCCATGGAAATTTCATCTTCATGAAGAAAGAACATCGCCGGTGGACACGGGAATCGCCCAAAACGACTCATGCGGAGATCGACCACATTCTCACCAACCGAAGGTGGAGCTTGCTCGATGTCTTAGTAGTTCCATCCTTCTGCAGTGGCTCCGATCACCGCCTTTTTCGAGCGAAGGTACGATTCAGTCGAAAGCTGGAGAAGAAGGTCTGCCACAGTGCCGCAAGTAGAAAGAATGTCGTTTATGACGGTAACAGGCTGAGGAGCTCATATCAAGTTGCGACTGGCCCATCGAGGAGGACCCAACGTACGACTACAACCGGCTTTTGAAAGGATTGCGAGCCTGAGGAGAGTGCGCCTCAGTGACTTCCGAGAAGAACGTGGAACGCATTTCGAAGAACACCGAAATGCTCGAAAAAAGAAAATTTCTGAGGCAGGATCCGAATGCATCCCATCTCGCGCAACTGATAGCCAACGCCAGTTGCAGAACAGCTTTGCAGGAGGATCTCAGGAAGTACAGACAAGCCAAGATACTGGAAGCAGCTGAAGGAAGACGAAGTCTCAAGAAGCGCCGAAGGAACCTCTGTGAATATCACGTACCGCTGGCTGCATTATTAAACGAAGACGGGACTCCGACTTTTTCCCGATACAAGATGGAATCTATCGCGAAGAACTTCTATACCAACCTCCGCTCATCAACACACGTGCCGATGCCCGTCGTTCCTACTGGAGAAGTATCACCACGGATTCTACCTGCAGAAGTGCGCACAGAGATTCAGACCATGAAGACGTCCACGGCTCCAGGACCAGACCATCTTTCCGTCGAATCTCTGCGAGCCGAAGGACAACGTCTACACGAGATTCTCGCGTCGCACTGACATCTACCTTCAGAAGGAGAAGGTTCCCGACCAGTGGAGAACGTCAAGAACCGTCCTTCTTTTCAAGAAGGGTGAACGGGAGGATCTTCGGAACTACCGTCCAATATGCCTGCTGAGTGTGCTGTACAAGCTTTTCACGAAGATTATCCTCGCTCGCATATCTAGGACACTGGATGAAGCTCAACCCCAAGAACAAGCTGGATTCCGCAAAGGATTCAGCTGCATGGACCACATCCAGACCGTTTCGAGGGTCATAGAAGTCTGCCGGGAGTACCGACTGCCTCTCGTCCTAACCTTTGTCGACTACGAGAAAGCCTTTGACAGTGTCGAAACCAACGCCATCTTGTCAGCGATAGTCGATCAAGGAGTGGTTCCAGCTACGTGAGGACATTACCCGACTGCTACAAGGATTGTACAACAACAATATAGCTATTCCATCGCCCCCTAACCATCCCAATTGGGAAGGGGGTCCGACAAGGCGACACAATTTCGCCGAAGCTGTTCACCGTGGCCCTGCAGTGGGTGATGAAGTCACTGGACTGGGACGAGAGAGGCATACGAGTTGATGGGAGATTCCTGTCGAACCTTCGTTTTGCGGACGACATCGTTCTCTTTTCGAGCAGTATCACTGAAGCAGAGACGATGCTGAAGAAACTGAACGAAGTAGGGAAGAAGATCGGATTGCGAATAAATCGGAAGAAGACTCAGTTTATGAAGAACGCCCTTTGCGAAGATGCAGAAATGGAACTGGAAGGCACCCCTATCATGGAGACGTCTTCTTACGTGTATCTCGGACGTTCGATGAACATGGAGAACGACTTGAGGGAAGAACTTAACAGGAGAAGAAGAGCAGCCTGGGCCTAACGGACCTGGAGCTTCGTGCTCACCTGTTCGACTCAACCGTTCTCCCGGCGCTCTGTTACGCAGCGGAGACTTGGGCTGACACCGTAGCCACGTCGAAAGCTTCGAGGACCATCCACAGAGCGTTAGAGCGTAGTCTTCTGAAGATGACCCGACACAAACAACAATTTGTCGGACTTCGCAGCACGGATATGAGAAGAATATCCCGTCTTCGTGACCCAGCGGATTACGTTGCGAAAGCGAAGCATTGATGGGCCGGTCACATTATGAGAAGAACAGACGACAGATGGACACTAAGAACAACGGAGTGGATTCCTCGCGATGCAAAACTTCCCCGAGGAAGACCTCCAACGAGATGGGCAGACGTGTTCGTGGAACGGATGGACCAGCTGAGAACAGCTGGATACGATTTTCGCCCCTGGAACTCGTGGACGCAGCCACCGACGACTACCAAGAAGATCGTGGATGTCCGAAGCGAGGGACAGGGATCAATGGAAACTTCTGTGCTGGGGCCCGCACGTCACGTGAAGCCGGGCCATCTAAGTATCTAAGTAAGTATGCATTAACATTCCCGCTGGGAAAGGGATCGCAACTTGAAAGAAAGCTTCATATCCTGAAGCTTTAGATATCTGGATTTCACGTGATGATTTCTACCCATCCGCAAGTATCCCTACCATCCTTCACTATGAACATTTTGAACAGGAGCGAGAAGCTGTACAAGGCGCATTCCAGCTTTTTGTTTGATCTCTGATGATCCCCGGTGCTCGACCGTCTTTTCTTCAAAGTCATTTTTCTTTCTTCAAAGTTAATGAAAACCCAAAGTTGTACTGCTTATCTAACCCAACAGTAACTAAGCATGTTGCTGATAAGAACAAATGATGTTTTGGAGTCATGAAATTTTCGATGAACCGATTGAAAAAAAAAATTTTCGAGGTTCGAAAGTTGGGGTTTGTCGGAAATTTCGATATTTCAGAGACTCATTTGTTCTCATCAGCAATATGCTTAGCACTGTTAAGCTAGATAATCAATGCAACTTGGAATGTTTTCGTTAACTTTGAAGAAGGAGAAATGACTGTGAAGAATGAACGATCGTTCCCCTTGGATCGTTAGGGGATCATACAAATTGCTGAAAAATGTGGCTTGTACAGCTTCTTGCCCCTGTTCAACATGCTCATAGTGAAGGATAGTAAAAATACTTACAGATAGGTAGACAAAGTGAAATACAGATATCTGGAGCATCAGGGTATAAAGCTTTTCTTTTGAGCTGTGATCCCCTCCCCAGTGGGGATGTTAATGCATGCGGCCCTTAAATACCATCGGCTCCCCGATTGTCGCGAAGGCGGACTCTTGCGAGCGTATCAGTGAGCGGTTGCCCTGTGTTGAAACATAGCTGATAAATTGATTATCGGTTGACCATCGCGACCGCCCTCGCAGCAATCTGGGAGCCGATGGACTTGCATTCATTGCAAGCACACTATATTAAGCGGAAAATTTACTCGACTGTATCCTTGGTTGGGATGAGCAGCAGCTATCGACTTATTAGGTCGATTGAGAGAAGCATTTAAAGGTCGCCGACGAAATAGGAGAAGCCGCGCCGCATTTGCTTGTTAATTGCCGACAATTACTCTTGTTTGCGCGAAGAGCTCTGGGGTAGAGGACTATATGCCGCCGAAAAAGGGCGGTCCCCGCGGTCATTTGCGACAAATACGCACTTTTGTACATGCGCGGACATGCGTTCCTGCAAGAAATCCGCATGGGACTCTTCCACATTCGGCGACATATAGCCCTCCACCCAGAGTTCTGAGCATGCTATCATTTCTTTTCTGTCGGTTGCATATCGCACTAGGATCTTTGCAAAGGAAAGAAATACTGGGATGCCCAGAAGCAACCGAAGAAATAATTTGGCCTCGATAACAAGTTTAGTAAGTTTGAAAAACTGATTGTGAAATAATTGCACTAATAGCAATGGCAAAACCGAGCTTTTTGGACAAACTCTGTAGCCAGCTTTGTGTGCTCACTCACTCATCTTTTAGCTTCTCAAAAGACAAAAGCGTTTGTCAAGTTGATCAATGTAAGGGGTTCCTGTTCAAAGCAAAGGTTCCTGGGTTTGAATATCACAAACTCATGATCACGCAACCTGATTATAACTTGAGATAGATTAAGAGCGCAAACGGTTCAGAAAAATTATAAGAAATGCACTTTTCGATGAGTCCGAAACTGACTGAATTTCAAGCCACCATTATCAGCTCCCTGGTCCGCAAGAGATATGCGTAGACGTTTCAGCCGGTCGATTCTGTGCATAATAGCAGGATCTTTAGTTCAAGTGCTCCTCTACTTTTGACACGCACGCAAGGAAAGATTCGAAGCTATAAACTAGTGATTAGTAACTGTGGCTGTAGTGGGCAGGCCAATAAGGTGAATGGCTATATAAACAAGCTGTATATGATGTAATTTTGTGAAGGAGATAAGAATGCAGAGGAATTCGTAGAGAAACCACGTGTCAGAATCCTTACGTCGTGTGCACACCTTACGCGAATTCATTCGCTACGCGATCTGGCAATTTGCCAGATGGCTTCAAATTCAAAACTGGCAGGCCCCAAATGCGCAGGACATATAACCTTCTTAAGTTGATAAAATGCCCCGTCTTCCATACATTCAGAGATCCCTTACGATAAGTTATGAACAAATGGAGTAGTTGCTAATGCCAAGTTGCGTCTCTACTGAAATCGCGTGAGGTATATCCAGGGCCTTAGAACTACAATTCAGACTTCCTTTCTCGCGCTCACATCAACTCAACTAAATTCTAGCTCCTTGAATTTTTACTACATCGGTGTCATTTTTTTGTGGCAAGAACATCAAATTAGAACAGACTGGTTCTCACAAACAACCGGAAAAAAAGAGTTCTAGAGTGCTCAATATAATATGTTCTTTTGCGTAATCGATCGCAACCATCTCATCAAAGGGTTATTTATAAGGTGTAAGTAACTAATATCCTAAGTCAGTGGAATCAAAGCATTTCGAACAAATGGTTTGGTCATAGTATACTGTAGTCGCTGATCATGACAAGCCCCAACTTTCGACCTGTGGTTCATCGTAAATTTCATGACTTCAAAACATCACTTGTTCTTATCAGCAACTTGCTTAGCACTATTAAATTAGATAATGTACAACATTGGAATGTTTTCGTTAACTCTGAAGAAAGAAAAATGACTTCAAAGAGTAGACGCTCGTCCCCCGGGGATCACCAGAAGCATACAAAAAGCTGGAAAATGCGGCTTGTACAGCATCTCGCTTCTGTTCAATATGTCCCTAGTGGAGGATGGTGGAAATACTTACTGATAGGTAGACAGCATGGAATCCATATACATGGAGCTCCAGGATGAAGCTTTCTTTGAAGCTGCGGTCCCCTTCCTAGCGGCAATGTTAATGCATGCGGCCCTAGGCATGCCTGAAAAATGAAGAATGAGCAGAGAAAGCTACCTGCATTTTCGCTTTGCGGCAACTGTTCAAGCACAAGTGCTGTTGCTTCTGCAGGCGCACTAATTTACCGGAAAATCCTACCCGACTGTACATGTATGAAACAATTCTTTTGCCAATTTAACTTAGAGCGCCATAAGCTTCCAAAGCATTAGAACACTTATTGATCTGAGTGTCAACGCCAGTGCTTCTTGCCAAAAATCTTTTGCTGTATTTGAAAGTATGTATGGATGCATAGCAATGGTCTGAGTGTTTAACGCTACTGCAAACTTCTTTTTGTCACATAAAAATTTTCAAATAGAGATCTTTTAACCCTTTCAACATATCAGTCAAATTGAAAATGTCTCGCTGTAATTGCAAGTATGTATGGGCGCATTAGCATTGATAGTTTAAGTGTTTAAAGCTAATGCAGATCCTTTTTGTTCCATTGAAATTTCAAATAGAGGTCTTTCAACATTATAAATATAGCCAACCTAACAACGACACCAGTGCCAGCTATTGCTGTAACCAAATCTTCCCGTTGCACATACCCTCTGTACGAAGAGTGATGGAGCTCCTGCTGCTCGGGTTCCACGCGGCAGCCTCGCTTGGGCTCTACACCTCCTACGCAAGCGTTCACTCTATATATTTTTCCACGCTTGTTTAGCGATCAGAGATCGGTCATCCACTCTCAGATATGAGAAAATGATGATCAGAGAGCACGCTCACGAAAGAGCATGCAGAGCTCAAGCGAGGAGGTCGCGTTGGAATTGAGCCGCACAATCTCCGTCACTTCTATTGAGACAGAAGGTACAAGAAACTATTATTAAAGCCTTTAATTGATACTTCTTCTGCAAATACGAAATTTTTCAGGGTAATTTTGATAACTGTAGAACACAGATGATGTCTTCATTGATAATTTTTGAGCCAAAAATTTGTCATATACGAGGATTTCTTTGTTGCCCCAAACAGCTTTTTTGATGCAATGTAAAGCAGCAGTCGAAAACTTCGTGTTGGATATAGAGCGGATTCAAGAAAACCAAATTTTTGTGAAATATTTCAGTTTAGATCATCTTCTTCTGTTGAAACAAGACCGTGTGTTGTGAAAACGCATACTGTAAGCCGAAATATTTGAATCTTATAAACAAATTCAAAAATTTTGGATTTTGACTTCTGGGCTTAATTACACTCTTGGTAAAGCTTTTTACAAAGCCGCAGTTTGCGTTTCTGGCAAAGTATCTTCATTATCAACATTGTATCTTCAAGCTCTTTGCATGCTCTTCCTTCATTTTTGTTCTGGTACTGTATGTAAATCACTCAGATTTGATCGCTTTAGTTGACAATCTGCTAAGAAAGACGCAATCTACTACTCAAAAAGTATTGAGTTCAAACTCGGTCACAGGTCTTTATGATTTACCTTGCAAAATATGCATTCACATCTTCTTTTCTAAGCGATTACTGTTTGAAACTGTATTCACGCCCATTTTTGACACAGATGATAAAGGCGACTCTTATATTAGCGTTTTCTTGCAGATTGTCTGCTAACAATTTCAGTAGTTTTTTTGATAGCAATTTCAGAAATTTCATCCAGCTTCAATACGGAACATGAAGCTTTTATACGTGATACTTGCGGCGGTTCGTCATTTTAGTTGCGTCGAAGAATTTTGGTCAATTTATTTCTTTTGCAGGCGCTTTTGGCTATCGTTTCAACCGCACCCGTACCGTGCAGTGAGTATTTCATTATGAGAATGCGAACAAGCTGCACACTGAAAGCCTTTAGATGGGACTAATTGTACCGGATGTAAGAAGAAGAAGTAAGATGGAAGGCGTTATTGGAAGAATCATCCGCAGTTGGTGAAATGTGATAAGCAAGAACTAATTTCGCTCTGAATAAAATTCCACTTTAAACTTAAGATTCGTTGTTCTGGTATTTTCCATGCATTTTGATTGATCCTTAGAAGAATACTTTTCAAAGTAACAAAACGATGGGTGTCCTCCTATCAATGTCGATAGAATGTATTATTAGTGGTCGGGAAGTAATGGGACACAATTTTTTTTTGAAATTTCGATGATTTTCTTTCTGATAAACAATGAACACGGCAGTGAAGAAACATTTGTATAAAGCGATCTTCGCATGTTAATCTGGCAGAATAGCAGCTCATATCCTACAATCTTTCGCGTGGCGCTTCAAAAAAGGCAGAGAGACTTTTTTTTGAACGCCATCCGAATTCGTACTGCAGTACCTTGAAGTCCCTTGGGATATGACATACCATTCGAATCTTGAACCTGCAGAAATTCTTCATCATCTTATATATATAAAGCTGAATGTCTGTTTGTATGTATGTCTGTCTGTCTGTCTGTCTGTAAGTCTGTACGTATGTTCCGAATAGAAAATTGCATTTCTGAACCGATCCGGACCAAACTTGGCACACATACACTTCGGGCCCCGGCGGGTGTCATAGGCTACTTTTCGTCATCGATCGATATCAATTTTATCGATTTTATCGATTTTTTTGCAAAGTTTGAGCTACGGGGCTGGGAGTTTGCACAGGGGGGGTAATCGAGCATGCTGATCACGATTACAACATTAGTTTGGCGCTATTCGGCTATCCGGGCCCCTGAATTTTCTGTCGTAGAGCTTCCTCAAACTTCGTGTATAAGGGTTATCTACATGCTGATTACAGATATCACACTTTCTCCGCAGAACGTTTCTCCGTGTGGTTACGGTAGGTGTACGGTAGGAATTCAGTACCATGAACTCGGCTGGAGTTCGGTCCATATGGCTGATTCGACATGCTGATTACAAATATCATCTCTCTCGCTGCATATTGGGACTAGGGTCAAGCGTGTTGATGCGATCCAGGACCCTCATTTACGACCCCCCCCCCTTGAAGGTACCCATCCGTACGACCCCCCCCCCCTTACCCCTCCCCCCACCCTCCCCCATTTATCCCCCTTACCTCCCCCGCCCAAATTCCTCGTGCTAACCTGCATAAACAAATGTCAATCTCAAAAAACACCTGCGTGAGAACTTCAGTGAGGTTTCGGAAGCAGATTTTTTAGGCCAATGGGTGCGTCCAGCATCTGTAGCACACATACACACCTTCAATAATGTTTAAGAATCTGCAAACTTTTTTTTGAATTTTTAGGCATACTTCAGACCAGCAAATTCGATTCCCGTAGGCGACACAAATTTTTGCAAGGAGAAAAAAAATGACATTCTTGAACCACAGAAGAAGTTTTCGACTAAGAAGCTTACTTCCTACCTTACCCACAGTTTTTCCCGCGAAAAAAAAACCGCTTGAGCGCCGTCCAGAACGACGTCAACAACGTGCATGAGCACAATAGTTTGAAAATTCGTAACTAAAGCCAGGAAAAGACTGAGAGGCTGCAAAGCACAGGTTCTGTAGCATAGTGACCATACTATCCATAGAGAAAGTTTCAGCTCTTGAGGAGCAGTAAGCTCGAAAATATTTAGATGCGACTCTCGCAAATTTAGATGCGATCCTACCATACATATAATTGCAAGAAAATCCACAGTTGACAAAATAACACCAAATTTTGCATTGATGTAGCGGAGCATCTTTAAAGTACAGATAAATCATATGGGCCCGTGAAAAACATTACAAAAAGATTTAGAAATTTATGATGGTCACAGCTGGTAAAGGTATTCGCTTTTGTCGAGTGTGTGAGACTTCATGAGGGCTTCAGAAGCAAGATTTCTAAGGCAATCGGTACATTTAGCATTTTTATCAAATCATACATCCTTCAAAAGTGTTTTGAGCTCTTGTAAATGTTTTTTTTTGAGAATTTTTACAGATTTTTTACCTTTTTTATTCTGATTTCCACTTTTTTATAGATTTATTGTAAAGAACATATTAATTATCTGCTTTTTGATTCTCTTTTAAGCTTAGGGTATTTTAGACTAACTACCTTCTCTTACGACCCCCCCCCCCCCCACCTCAGGTACCCTCTTTACGACCCCCCGTTGCGACAGTCGCATCACAAGCTTGACCCTGATTGGGACCTTTTCATAGAGTTATGGTGGTTATACGGTACGGGATCGAAAACATAGATTTGCTTTAAACTTCATCTAGGGTGGTCATTTAGCGCGCTGAACATGAATATCATGCTGATTTCGCAAGATAGCGCATTTTCTTGAGGTACGGTGAATGTACAGTAAGTGGTCGAAGTTCCAGATTTGCTTCTTACCTTAACGGTTCACAAGCACACTGCTTATGCATATGATGCTCTCGCTGTTACAACGCATTATTGTGAAGTTATGGTGAGTTTCAGAGTTTGAATGGACATTTATTCGCTTTCGGGCCAATTTAGATCCCAGATATTCACGAAGTGGGAAAACGGTCGTTCTGCATGGCGGTCTCCAGCGCCATCCTGATAACCTGTCCTAATGCGTAACGCACGCGGCAAATCTCCCTCCCTCTGTTTTTGCTTAGGCAAAAGCCGCCGAAGGGTGTATCGCGCGCGGCAGTGGTCCTATATGGAAAGCATTACGGTCGTGGGAAACTTTTATACCACACGAATTGTTTTTATCGTGGGGACTAAGCACAATATTCTTGAAACAGCATTTTAGGTAATTTCCTGCCGAGTTTTAGGCAGGTTCATGACCAGGGTTGAGCAAGAGGTCAGGCACAAGTCTTTCCAAAACGACCCCCCCCCCCCCAGTGAAAGCCCCTAAACGACCCCTCTGCTTCACCTCCAGGACCTCAGGCTGTGATAATTCGAAGAGATCAGCCGTTTTTGGGAGGTTCTTGTTTTTTGGAGGTCTGTAGGTCGACTTTCTGCGATTGCACAGCACACGCAACTTGACGGCAAGTTTTGGACTTTGGATAGCCCTACTTTTAGAGCTATAATTCCCACAGGGGTGTATTGTTTGGCTCCAAATTTGTAGCATTGCAAGAAGAGGCTTTGAGTTCAATACTCATAGCAGAAATGGAGCGATTTTTAGATTTTGAAAACAAGTTAATCGGGTCAGGCGCAACCCCTCAAAAGCTCAGGCGGCCTGACCTTTTGTGGGGTTGCGCCTGACCCGATTAACTTTATCATTGAAGAAGCTTTTTTATTCAAGTTTTATGTGAATCGCTAGCACAACCCTCGAAGATTCCACAGTAAGTGTTTAGACTTGATTCGACTTGTTTCGGCCTTGTGGTAATCCGTGAAGTTGAAGCAGTCATGGCGAAAAACGCGCCGGTCGGAATTTTGGCATTATTTCTTACTCCACTATTTGCAAGCGATACAAAGCGCGATTTTTAGCCTAGACTAGTAGGGAACAATACTTTGTTACGAGTACAAAAAAATTGACTTTTCTCACTTTTGAAAACAAGTTAATCATGTTTGAAAATCACACTTTTTAGTCGTTGAGAAACACTAGATAATGCAGTAAATAATGGTTTGTAGGGCTCATAGAGGTAATTTGACGTGCTCGGAAATGATACCCATTTCACACAGCAAGCTTCCTTGATGAATTTATAATATGTCAAGGTAGAAGATGAAGATTTGAGTTTTGGCCGAAACTTCGATTGTGGAATCAATCAGTATGCTGTTTGAGACCATTCATTCCTTCAGTACTGGTGAGGTCGCGATATCCACTAAATTAGCGCTTTTCTTCTTCACCTTAATCGTAGTATCTCCTCAATCGAACGAATTCGATTCCTAATCACGACCCCACCCCCCCCCCCCTCTGTCTTACCCCAGTACGACCCCCCAGGTCGGGCGCGCCTGACCCCACGCTCAACCCTGTTCATGACCGCTGCCACGCGAAATGATACAATATTTGTCATCAGCGGCTCAAATAACCCCCATATACCGAGTTTGAGCAAGATCCGTCACAAAAACATTTTGGGGCCCTGATAACCGAATAGCGCCATCAGTTTTTAGAATTACCCTAACTTTTATCGATTTTATTGATTTTTGCAAAGTTTGAGCTACGGGGCTGGGGTTGTTGAGGGAGGTAGGTGAGCATGCTGATTACTAACACAGCGGAAATGGGAAATTGCATGTAGAAGTGTGCACAGGGAAAGGCTGTACAGAAATAGGGATGGAACCTTTATTACAGTGTTTGACAGGGCCGGGCGGAGCCGGGTAAGCCAGCTAGTTTTGTATAAAAGAGGCAGATCATCCAAAAGTGCAGTATTTGACGCAGATTTTCATGCTATTAGGTCATCCCAAAAGTTTTTTTGTATTTGTACCTTCAAAATGATACTTCTCAAAAACTAGGGCATCTAGAAGGATGCAATATTGTGAAAGTATTCTTGAGTTAGTAAGCTATATAATTACACATTTGCGAAGAACATAGACTCATTATAGGCCAAGTTAGGAATTGAGCCCTTTATTTTTTTTCTCAATTTCTAGCCGCCAGAAAAATGCAGCAGGTGTATCTATAAATGTCTGATGGGGAAAGTATATGCGTGAGCAAGTGGGAACTTTGCAGAATGTTTCTGAACTAAGATACGATAATTTTTGTTTTTTCGGAATTTTGGATTTTTCTCCATTTTGTCTTGCCTAATACGAAGTTTCGAAAGCCATATTGTAGAGCTTGCCCTAATCTTTCGAAAGGTACTCTGCTTCTCATCAGAAGTCTAAGAAGAGCAGAATTATGCTGGTGAAAAGTCTGTTACGAAAAAACTTTTGGGATGACCTAATAGGAAACGTGTTTGGCCCACAGTTTTTTGAGGTCGAGTTTTCTCCGAGGTAAATTGCGTACCTTTGGATAGAGCGTAAAAGTCTCTATCAGAAGCCATTCCTCAAAGGTAAGTAAGCCTATTCGATCATCTCTGTGAGAGAATAAATAACATGTCACCTAATACTTAAGCTATATCTTCTGTTGTAAGTGTTGGGACCATCAGACTT